ACATCTGTACAAACCGCAGAGGGAAAACCATCACTAATAAGACCCGTGGTATTGTCTGGAAGAGGGAAACGGCAGTCTCCCCAACAGGAGCAGGCTAATCGTGACAGCTTCCGTGTGTCTGTTTTCTGTATTCTGTGTCCCAGCCTCGCACACACCGGCTGCGTTAGCCTCAGCCAGGTGTGAAAGGCAACGGCAGCGGGAAAGGTGCTTGTTCAAGGTGCTGAGACAGAACGCTTCCCTGACTTCCACGGCCTCTCTGTCGGCCTGACGCCGCGTTTTCATTTGCCATGTAATGTGATGTCTACGATGTGCCAGTCAGGGATTCCCCTACGCTGAGGAAGACCGTGCGTGGGTTCCTATCACATTCAGCAAAATTAACACTAGTTCCTTACCCAGTCCACATGCAAATTCATCTGATTATCTCAAAACAGGGTCTACAGTTGATTTTATTCAAATCAGGATTCACACACTGCATTTGGCTGTTTCTCTTAAGTCTCTCTCTCCCCCTTCCCTTCCCCGCACCCCTGCAGATGCATTAACCTTAATCAGAAATATATCAAATGAGCAGGCAAGCAGGATTTTAAAAGAAGGAGCCAGGGCCGGCCGAGTGGCGCGTTGGTTAAGAGCTGGCTTGGGACGCCAGAGGGCCCTGGTTCAGATCCCACATATGAGGGCCAGTGACACTGCCCTCTACAGCTAAGATGCAGAACAACAGCTCAACCTGGAGCTGGGCTGCCGTGAGTCGCCGGCGACGGCGTGGGCTGCAGCCCCTGTGGTAGTGGGTTGCCATGGGCTACCGTGTGTAGCCAGCAGCCAGCGTGAGCGGCCAGCAGCCGCAGTGAGTGGCTGTCCAGAAGCCGGCAACTGATCTGCCTCACCCGGGAAGAGCGCAATGATGGTGCCAACTTGGGCCAGTGAAGCGACGTCCTCCACAACTAGACTGAAGAACAAAAGGACAGCAACTTGTCTGTTCCCTTTCCCCAAATTTCCCAGCGCTGTTCCCATCCCCCAATTCCCCAATTAAAAAAAAAATCTTTAAAAAAAAAGGAGCCAGCTGAGGGGTCCGAGGGTGCTACGTGGGGCCATCCTTTACAAATATGAGCCTGTCTCTTGGAAGCTCACAAAGAGCCTTCCTTAATAAGGTCAGTGGCCATAGACTGTCAAACTCCGCTATCGCTGAGAGGTAGATAAATTATTATGTGACTCTGCTCAGAGGTTCAGGCTCCTTTTTGGGACCTCCCAGGTATTCCAAGAGGTAAAAGGATGAATAAACATGCCCAAAAAGGAGACTGGGACATACGCCCCAGGGACCCTGGCTGTGTCACCAGCGGTTTGGGTTAAATTAATTCAGCCAGGAGCTGCTGGTACTTTCTTCCAAAATCCAAATATAAAGTAGAATGCAGTAAGTCTTAGGATGAAAAGGAGACACAATACATGTTCTGCGATTTTAGAGAATTAAAAGGTCTTAGTGCAACTCATGCAAAAAGCCAGGCAGTGAACCAGGCAGCACAGGGAACCACACAGAGTAACGTTTACTCACGAATTCCAATCTTTAGTTGTGCTTCTCAGAAAAGCTTTTAGGGTAGCTAGTTCGTAACCCACACCGTCTTTTCCAATGTACCTTTCACTTTGGAATAGTTTTACATTTACAGAGCCGTTGAAGCAATTTCTTTGAAGGTCTTTCCTCCCCTCCCCAGTCCCTCCGCCCTTGGGGACCTGTCACTCAGTAACTCCCCACACCAGCCACTCCCCACAAAAGGACTCTTCTAGCACCTCTTGTTCAACTTTAAAATCACACAGGCTGCCTGTCAGCCTTTTGTGCCGTGTGCTCTGCACACGTTTCACGCCCGCGGTGTGCTGGAACTGGCTCTCTTCCTCTGTTTCCTTCCTGCTCCCACCCATGACCTGACTGTCCCACGTCATGAAACAGGAACCAGGAGGCAGCATGCTCTCCTTAGACGTGGAGGAAGCAGCAGGGTCAGAGCTCCGTAGGAGGGACGAGAGGCCAACCACCCGACCGGGAGAGCTGGGAGCCCTATCTTCACTGGCTGCACCCAGGCCGAAAGGCTCAGGCTGGTGCTGCGCTGTCACTGTCCCAGGGGCCAGCGGGGGAACTTCTGCAGTAAAAGGAGATTCTGCAGGAGACCTTTCCCAGGAGTCGAGCATGTCTGCATGGCTGGTATTACCTCTGCTGAGATGCTGCCCAAAATATCCTGCTCGCAGTCCTGCTTCCCAATCCGACTGCAGAAGCAAAGAGCTCTGACAGGCGGCATGTGGGGAATGCATGAAGCATGAGTCACGTCGTTTCAAATACAGCAGCTGCGGTCACAGGCAGCCGTCTGCTACGGGCACTGGGTTCCCAAATGCAGAGAGAAACCTGCCCTTGAACCAAAGCCCTTCTGGTTTCTGGGTCCTGGGCAAGCTTTCTATTTATCTGTGGATCTCCACCACCGTTTAGGTTAGACATGGCTTTCCTACAAAACAGCACATCGATCTAAAAGACATTTCTCCTGTATTCTATACAAGACACTTAATCACTTCCTAACTGGTCTTCCTCTTTCTACCCTCATCCTCCTTTAGATATCTCTCAACACAGGAGGCAGGGCAAGCCTCTAAGACTTAAGTCAGATCAGTTATCTGTACGCAGTCTGCCGGGGCTCCCATTTTGTCACTATGAAAGTCAGTCCTTAAAGGGGTAGACAAG